GCTGTGGGTTCCGGGGGCCTGTGGGTGCCCCGGTGATGCTGCCGGTGCTCCTCGGGATGATGGATGTAGCTCCCACATTCCTACCCAAACCCCTCAAATGCTTTGGGAACTCCTACAAAGCATCCAGGACGTCCCATAAAAAGGTGTGGGAGCAGCCCGTGACCCCACAGGCCGTTCCCTGGGGAAGGGGCAGCTCCGACAGCGCCCGTGGGCAGAGCGGGGACGTGTGGGGACGCGAGGGGACGGGAGGGGACACAGTCCCAGCCTGCCCGGTCACGTCTGGGACAGGCGGATGCTGGCCTTGGCTTAACCCTGGCAGCAGCTGGGGCGGCCGGGGGTGAGCAGGGGGTGAGGAGGGGGCGCGGGCAGCCCCCGGCTCGCAGCACAAGGCTCTCTCAGATGTGCCAGCAGAGCAGAGCCAGCTCCGGGGCACAACCGGCCCCTTTATCCCTGTCCCGCCAGGCTGAGCACATTTAACCCTCCCGGCACCGAGCCAGTCCCGCTCCCACCCTGCTGACCCCGAAAATATTTTTGGGGTTGCCGAGATGCAGCCGGGCACCCGCTTGGRTTTAATTTTCCCTTTGATTTTCCCTTCGGTTCGTCCTCCCGGGAATCTGGGGGGGCTGTGGGGACCCCCGGCACTCACCAGGGYTGTCCCCTTCCCATCCAGGCTGTGCCCGGGACGGACGAAATTACCCCACGGGAGCCACGTACCGGGACAACTGCAACCTGTGGTGAGTGACGGCCACRCGGGGCCACCTGTGCCGTGTCACCGGCGTGTCACCAGAGTGTCACCAGGGGAAGGTGTCGCGGTTTTTGAGGGCACCCGGAAAGCGCGGGGCTCGGCGCAGAGCGAGGCCCGAGCTGGGTGGTGCGAGCCGCTGCCAAAATGCCTTCGCTCCAACTTATCCGGAGCCAAGAGCCTTGAGCCGCTCCCAACTTCCAGCGCATGCCTGCGTGGGAGCCGCTCGCCCCGCCGGGACAACGCGCTGCCCAGGGCGGCTTTTGGCCACTTTGGCCCAAGCCCAGCTTGCCCAAGCCTGACGGGGCGCTCGGGCAGCCCGTGGCTGTGCGGAGTTACCCGGGAGCGGCGCGGGGGTTAACTGGGAATACTGGTATTRCTGGCATGCGGAGGTGGGGGATCGGGAAAGCCGCGGGCGCGGAGCTGCCGGAGACGAGGAGCGAAGCCGGCGGGGCGATGCGGCCGATAAGGGGAAATCAAAGGCGGCGTCTGGGGCGTGTGCGAGGGCAGGGGCACGTGTGYGAACATGTGTGCGGGTGAAAAGGCAGCCCGAGCCTCCCCGAAAGCTCCGGGACAGCCTGGAGTTCCTCCCGGAGCGCTCAGGGTGTCCCCCGGGAATGTCGCTGTCCCCAAATCCGCGGAGGGGGATGGGAAATCCCTCCCTTCTGGCGGGGGAGCAGCTCTGAGCCCCCCCAGAAATGGGGAGGGGGCAAATCCTCTATTCCAAACCTTCCTCCCCCGCGATCGGTGCCTGGAGAGCAGGAATTTGTGCAGCGCTTCACCCCCGCTCCTCTCGGGGTCCGGCGGGGTTTGGAGAGGGGGTGACAGGGCGTAAAAAAAGACGGAGGGGTGACACYGAGCGAGGCCACCCTGAGTGGCACCCTGATGTCGCCAGGTGTCCCACGAGGCGCCGGCAGCGCTCAGGCACGGACGGGAGAATGCGGGAATGCAGGTGGGGTCGGGATGGGGATGAGGGGACGCAGCGGCSGCCGCGCTCAGCTCCATAAAAGGGAAATGTGCCGGGATCCGGGCAGGAGCCAGCGTGCCAAGCATTGCTCACTGAACGGGGGGAGCACGGCCCGGGGCTCCCCGGGGGACCCGCCACACCCCCGCCGGTCCCCGTGAGTGGCCTGGCTCGAGCGGGTCACTCAGGGGGACAGCCAGCCCCGAGCAGTGTCCCCGGGCTGGTGTCCAAACCCCTCGGTGATGTCTGCAGCCCTGGCAGCTTTTCAGCTGATTTGCTGTCCCGTGGCCCGGCTGCCCTCGGGGCTCCTGCGGGGGTTGGGACA